GTCTCTTAGCCATGACTGATACCCCATAAATCCCCGCGTTCGGCGGCGGGCCTCGTTCAGTGGTTTTTAGTGCAAACCATTTTATGAGAGTGGTTGCGTTTTATATCTCGAGGATATCGGTGGACATCTTGCCCCGACCTTGAGACCCGGCAGGGCTGCGCTAAATTCCTGCAGAGGCACGTGTTGTGGAGTGACAGCGCCAGCTGCCTGTGGCATGACACGCACGGGGGCCGGCTGTGGGCACCGCAGCCATTCGGAGATGTGTCCTGCACGGGTGCCTTTTCTTTCAGCGGTCCGCCATGTCCCGTAAACGTTTCTAAGGATTCCAGCTTATGCCTGGGACTTCCTATAGCCCCCAGCAGGTACCTTAATTGATGGAGTTTTTGCATTCTTCTCTGACTCTCTCAGGCATGTAGGACAATATACTGCTAGCTTCTAGGTTCTTCCATGTAGCAAACCAATTTTCTTCAGCCCACCAGAATTTCCGGCCACCCATCCCTTAGCTCTTGGATCTAACAAACTGGACCACTGGTTCTTCTCCAGGCTAAGCTTTAGACAGCGTGCCTTCTTTTGGGGTTGCTTCTTTTTCAGGTCTCCCCTGCAGGAAGCAGGAGATCCTTTCCTCCGTCCGCCAGTGAACGGGACACCAAAGCGGATGATTTTTATGAGGCATCTCATAACAGACATGGGCCAGGACCAAACCAAGCAGCAGATTGAAAAGGGCCTGCACCTTTACCAGTCCAATCAGACAGAAAAGGCCTTGAACATTTGGATGAACGTGCTGGAGAAAACGTCAGACCCTGAAGGCAAATTCCGGGTACTGGGGTGCCTCATCACTGCCCACTCTGAGATGGGGAAGTACAAAGAGATGTTGAAGGTAAGGTCCCCTCCTGTGATCCCAGACTGTCTTTTAGCACTCCCTGTTCCAGGTTAGCATTGCGAATAACACCAGCTGCAAGAGAGACAGAAACTTTATTTTCAACATATTTTTAATCATATGTATTCTTTCATGACTAAATACGCATTTGACCTAAGTGTTCCAAGTGGCACCAGACTCATTTTCAAATGAATATCTACACTTTTGCTAATTTGCACTATTAAATATATTTTTAATCTTTTTTTGTGATATCTCAATGGATTATCTTAAATGGAGATCTTCCTCTGGAAGGCTTTTGGTTCTTCTTTGTGATTTGTGAGGATCTTCTCTGTCTTTCTCTTTCTTCTGAGAACTTCCTCACACTTGTACGAAGGGGCACACAGGCCCAGCTGCTACTTAATTCAGCCCTGGCGTCCAATACTAATGGTCACGGTGAAGAAAGTTGTTGCTCTAAGTCTCAAAACATGCTTTGGCCATTATGGGTTTAAAGGAAATATGGGAGGCAGAAGGAAAAACATAAAAAGACACCTGACATGTGACATAACCACCATACCTGTCTCTACAGATACATCTGCTGCCTATCATGCTCTTCCTGTCCCCAGTAGACAAAGCAGTGGTCTTTCAATCACACTGCCGTTCACTTCATGTCATTTTTTTGAAATACACAAAATCCTTATATACCATGAGTTATATAAATTTCAGCCGATTAAATCTTGTATTACTTGTATCACTTGCCAAAGGGTGCATGCGAGTATTCTGTCAGCACTGAAGTCAAACTTCAGTTTGTCAGCACTCAAGTCAAATGGCCACTTGAAAAAGTCAAAATTTTCTACTGACCAGATTTATTGAATCCCCATCCAGTCTGCTAGAACAATACTGAGTAAAATAAAGTAAAATCCATGTGTCCCGCAGCCCTGTACTGGAGAAGCAGCCAACAGACAAAAGTCCAGATGTTATTCATCTCTAACATGTCAGATAAACCATGTTTCCAAAAAATGTTTGAAAGTGCTTGAAAGTGGCCGGCTTGAGTACCGGAGGCCCATTCCTTTATTTGTCTCGTGCAAATATCATCCAAAATGCATTTCAGTGCAATTTCGTAACACAGTGACGACAGACTCAACCTTCCTACAGCCTTTTTGGACTAGAAGGCCAATGCAAGTGTCCGAAACATTAAACTTCTGAGGTTTTCACATGAGCTTCTTACATCCTCGGCAGTACGCCCTAGCTCAGATCGACACAGCCCGGGAGATGGAGGATCCAGACTACCTGACAGAAGGCTACTTGAACCTTGCACGAAGTAACGAGAAGCTGTGCGACTTCCAGAAAACCATCTCCTACTGCAAAACCTGCCTGAACATGCAGGGGAATGTTCTCACCATAATCCTCACCAGGAAAAGCTGAGAAGACCACGAGATCAGTCCGAAAACAACACAGGCACAATTTCTGTCCGAGGGTGTA